TTATGTTGCTTTTTCCACTATTGTTTCTAAAATCAGTAGAACCCAGGGGTTTGGTGATGTAACTTTTCCAGCACAATATGTAGATAGTCTGTCTTCATCAAATAACTATTGGACCTTGGGTCAAAAACCACAAGTGCCTTCTAAGGAATCTACAGAACAAAGGGTGGCCTCATTTAGTCAGCTGAATTCTTCTCCAACAGAGCAAGTGTCGTTTTTCAGATCCCCTGCTGATTTAGATGATGATATCACCGTGAACACAATCTCTAATAATAGTACAGTGGACTATAGAGCTGTAATAATAAGCATATCTGTTTCTCCGTCAGAAGACAGTGAAGGGAAGTTCAGCTCAATATACTCATTAAGGATTTCAGAAAATATGGAAACAGCATCACAACTGGAAACGGAACTAGACCTTCCTCACAACACAAGTATACCCAAAAATGAAACATCACTGCTTCAGTTCCCTTTGACTTCACTAGAAGTATCTGTGATCCAACCTTCCTTGCATTCTGATTTATTGTATGTAACATTCACTTATGTCTCCAATGATACTGCCAGTTTAGCTACGCAACAAATTTCTGATAAAACTCCAGTCGGCTATTTAGTAAATAAGTATCCTTATCATGCTGATATATTAACACCTTCCTTTGAGTCTTCATGTTCGGATGACATCTGCACAGTTTCATCTCCAATAAATGGTGGAATGTCACAAAGTATGCATATGGACACATGGATAACTCAGTTCACAAGTGTGACTGAATATGTAAAAACTAAAGGATACTCATTTCAGAATGATTTTCCAGGGATGTCAAACCTGTTGTTAGAGACAGAGCCATTACAGATATTGCATATTCAAGGTCATAAACCCCAGATCAAAGCAATCACAGAATTTGGTAGCCACTCAACAGTGCTGATGTTTTCGACACCATTAATTTTGAAAGGTCTGAAAAATAGCCTAGATCAATACTCTCCTGGCTTTGGCTATTCATGGAGTGAAGACACAAGCATACAGACAAACCCACTGAATAAAAGTATTCTGACTGACAAGGAAGAGCAACCTGCAGAAGATGCAAAAAGCAAACTTAACTCTTCCTTTCAACTAGATCATGCGGACATGCTTGATGTAGATGATAGAAGTATTAGGATGAATATAGAAGCATTTGTTTCAGAAAGAGAATCAGTTTGGAAATTACATCAGTATATTAGCAAACCTGCTGATAGTTCTGTTAACAAAATATGGTCTTCCAGTATTGTCCATACTACTGAATTATACATGTGGTCAGTTTCTCCCTCATTTGAAGACTCCTTGGGCTATGAAAACACAGTAAACAATTTTTACTTTTTTGAACCAATAGCGTTTTCAGCAGTAAATGATATGATATCGCAGTCTTTTCCATTTGTTGAAACAATTAAGAATTTTAATGAAAACACATTGAATAGGACAGAAACTATGACTGGAGTGACATTCCATCCTAACTTAGAAGTTCAGAACTCAGTGGAAGTGTCAGCTTATGGAAATGCTGTGGCCGGTGTGGTATCTGAAGCAAACCAAAAGACAACATTGAGTCATAGCAGCAGCTCTCCTGAATCTGTTTTGTCTTGTTTTTTGTGTAACTCCTTCATTGACTGGGGCTGCCCATGTGGACGTGAGGTCAAGCACAGTATGTTAAAATATAAAGTTAGATTTGATAGAAGTGGGTTTAGAATAACTGGGGTAGCTTAGACTTCATCTGTAGTATTGGAGCCTTTGCAGTAATTGAACTTAATCAGAAATCAATTCATACAATTTTTGAAAGAATTATCAGAATTTTAATATGTGATTCCGATCACTACCAACCCATTTACTAACTTCAAGAACTTTGAGGAGACTACAGTAACTATCAGATGCCAATGACTCACCTGTTTTGTCCATGGACATTATTTTAGTTTATGGAGTCTGGATAAATTCAGAGCAGACATATATTTATAGAGGAAAAAATAAACAAATAAACGGGAAGTCCATTTTTTTCCTTGTGAGGATTGGAAGTGCACCAACTCCCATGAGCAAAAGAGGCTAGTAAAATTCCCCTATCAATGTGCTGAATCCATGGGGTTTTAAACTGCACAATTGACCCTCTGTATACTTTTCCTGACTGTTGTCCATCCTATTACTTAGTGAATGATGGGACAGGGTGTAAGAATGCCATAAGTGTTACTTTACATTCATGTCTATATTGAGATCCCACAGATGTTCTCAATGATTATTTTAATTTTGTTTATATACAGAAGAGAGTTGAAAAATTAGGAACAAATTGAACAATGCAAACAAGAGCAACCCCTAGCAATTGTGCTTAAAAACAAGATTTTAAATTCTTGGTTTATCTGCTGATATTTTACAACAGTTATCCATTTTAGTAAGACATGCAAATATTTTCTAAGAATAATTGTATCTTCTGAATCTTTCTGATTTTTACATTTTATAGTCTCCTGAGAGTCACAAGAAAGTTATAGCTTCTATACTAACATCTATGAAATTTATTTTCATTCTTTGCATAGAGACAGTGGATAGTAAAACTCTTCAGCTTTGCTTTAGAAGTAGTATGGTAGAGCTTTCCCATTAAATGTGATTTAATCTAAATCATCGTTGTATTTTCCTCTGATGTAATTGCACTGAAATGGAAGTAGAATTTTACCTTAAGAAAATGGTTCACTAGTCACTTCCTGACTATGTACATGTCCAAATAATGCCATACATGGTACGATTAAGGACCACTATAATTTGCACACACACTTACTCCAATCCAGTGACAGTAATTTAGGAATGAGAACAACTTTTACTAAGCAGATATGCTGTGATACTCACATAAGAATTCCATTCAGAACAGAAAACCAATGTATAATGCAGCTTGTCTGTTCAGCTAGTTCAGCTTTTGTTGGAAGGCAAAACACTGAGGATGACACTAGACAATAACACATGCATCCTCAAGTGTTGAAGGACATTTAGTTGCCATAGTAGATTATTTTCCTCACCTCTCTATCTGGCATCCCAGCATGATTTACTGTTGCTACAGGGCAAATGCTGTTATGCAAGCAATGAACTCTTTGTTTAATGTCCACTTTGACCCTGATACTGCCTTCTGCCCAACAGCTTAGTAACTGTGAGAGGAGCATCACATACTGTGCTAAAGTAAGTTGCAATTAGAGTAGGAATTGAATCAATGGAACTTATGCAGGAGTTGACTTACCAAATTCCTGTTGATTCAGTGGGCCTACTCTAGAGCAATTTATTGTGCTAAGCAACAGGATTTTGGCCATTGTAGCAGAGACGGACAATCTTTACTCAAGATCTGCATAAGCTCCTGAAAAGTAAAAGTACTATTTTCATAATAGAAGACTTATCTTCATTTTTGATAAACATCACAGCTGTCATTGAACATCCTACTTGCTCATGTCCAAATACATACTTTTATGTTACTTAATTCACATTATTTTATATTTTCAAATTAACAGATCTGTTAAATACATAATAAACTAGTACTTTATCAGAAGCTCAGTAGAATTATAACTCAATTTAATAAAAGTATAAATCCACTTGGAGGGGAAAAAAGGCCCATACAAGGGCTATTACACAGTGGTTTTACAAACAGCTTCTTGCTGGGTCCCTTCACATGATCAGTCACATACTGTAACTGACCTTGCACCGTGTTTTGGAGCCAGTGGGAGGCTGGGTGTACACAAATGAGCTGGCAGGAAGGTGGAACATGTTTATGTGATCACCCTTATGCAGTTGTGTAAACAAACAGTATTATGGTCAGTGTTGTGTTACTCAATTTTTCAAAAGTTCTAATACAACAACATGGAAACGATTCTATTTATAGAAATCCTGATTTAAATTGAGAAGTGTAAAGAAGCAGGAGAGGTTGCCAACTTGCCTCTGTTCCATCCATGGTTTAAAGCTGCTGCATTAGCCTCATGGCTGGAAGAATGACAATAAAAACTGGATCAGTATCAGGCAGCATAGTTTGTGGAAAATGTTGCTGTTCCATAGTATATAGTATTCAAATCTCCCCTTTCTTAGAAATATGCAAATTTGTACATAGCCCTTGTGTGTGTGTTTTTTTTTTCATGGTTATAATCTGGAATAATATTAACATTTTTCATATTTGAGTCCCTTTTGACTCTAGCTGAAATGGCAGTACAGAGATTGTTATTAAATAAATTTTGGTATCAGAAAGCCCCCCCCCCCACAAAATACTCTTTATCCAGGATCATAAAATGACCACAAGAAGTACTTATCCTATAAATTCTGATTTTGATGTTTCTGCCTACATCGATAAATGTCGGTCAACTATCTGGTAAAGTATTAGTCAAGTATTAGGCAAAATAAAATTTAAAAGATAAACATCAACAGACTTGGTGTTTAGGGTAATTACTGGTTAATTAAAGTCAATTATCATACATTAATTAAATGTAAAATTAGAAGGGAATAATAAAACCACTACTCAGTGTTCTCTGCCTGGGAAACCTTGAGTCACTAAAGTCTGAATTGATGGCACATGATGATGATTAGATATGATTTATTTTTATAAAAATGTGAATAAGGAATGAATAATTTTTATCTTTAACTTTTACTGCGGAGAACCAGGCTGAGATGATCATCATGATAATGGATCAATACTAGGCATAATGAAATTAAAGAAAAGTGCCAACAATTATTAAGAAGCAGTTTTAAAAAAACCTATTATAGCTAAGTAGACAGTCTTCTTGAAACATATCATGACTTTAGAAAATATTTGGTGATGGTGTTCATTGATTGGCTAATTTACTGGTGCATCAGTCCTACTTTCTGATAAGAGCATTGTACTTTTCATTTGCTGAACCTTCCTTTCCTCCCCGAGAAGGTAACTGGAACCTTGGAGGGATGTGATTATGAACCATATAATTAGTTCTCTTCTGAATTTTCAGTCAGTTATGAAACATGGGCTATAGTTCTAACATATACAATGTTTTGCAATGCATAGGGGGATTCTTCTACAGAATTGCCATTACCGTCTACAATGACAAAGACACTTCAGAATCAAATGTCCAATATGCAGTTGCAGAATGGGTAAGTCAGGGTGCTTTTTAACCCTCTCCGTATGCTTTACATAGGTGCATATTATCATTTTGTTTCACTTTATCAACTACATTTTTAAAAAAAAAAGTTTGGGAACTTATATATTATAGTTTGAAGACTCTGAAATATTTATATGGCTCTGGAGTTCTGCTTTCGGTATGTCAAATATATCCTACTTCTTAAAATATATGAATGATTAAAAGATTAGTCATATCTTCATTATACTCCAAGAGGGTAGATTTTGATTAAACCTAATCCCTTTAGAAGTGCTGCAGTTGTATGAAAGTAGAGTAGTATTTGGCAAGCTTTTTGCCCTCCAAGTAGTATTGCTTTCCTGTTTCTTTCAGACCTAACTTGTGTGGATAAAAGTGAGGGATAATGTATGAGCAACTCCAGTTTTTAGTCCTCTCAGATCACTTTTGCCATCAGGAATAAGAAGCAGTGTTTGGAACACAGAAACCAGTAGACATAATCACTGGTAATGTTTAGTCCCAGCTAAAAGATTTTTATAGCAAGGCTGCTGGAGCCCCGGCCAGCACTCAGCTGCAGGTGTTTGGACAGCAGGAGGAAAACCTCAACTGCAAGGTTTGGCCCATAGAATATTCTGGGAGGAGATTATTCTATCCAGGCCCTGGACAGAATAATCTCCTCCCAAGAATACCACCTTTTCCCAAGAAGACTCTTTCTGTCAAGGAGTTCTTCTCTACAACTCAGCATTTTGCTTTGTGGCTTCAAGCTAGGCTCTAGATATCAGCCTTCTTCATTCCCACTGAGTGGATGAAGGTCCTCTGATTCATCCCTCAAGCTTCCATAATACTCAGGCTTCTGCCCCCCCCCAATAAATCTTCTAGCCAGATATCTGCAAGCGGAATCTGAAGGCCTTAGGAAAGGACCTCAACAAATGGGAAACTTTGGCATCTGAGTGTTCAGCCCAGAGGCAGGCAGTGCAACATGGCCTCTCCCAATTTGAAGAGACGCTTGTTCAGCAGGCCAAGGCAAAGAGGCAGTCCCAAAACCAGCAAAATCAGGAAGCTGGACAGGGGACAGATTGGATTTGTCTTCAGCGTGGAAGGGATTGTCATTCTCGAATTGGCCTTCTCAGCCACACTAGATGCTGTTCCAAGATCTCTATACAGAGCAGGTTACTATAGTCTCTCAAGACTGAAGGATGCCATTGCTTGTTGGATCCTAGAGTATAAGGTTCATCCACACTGAAGGTCATAAGATGAGGTAACAATTACACTCACCCTGTATTATTAAGGAAGGATGTGGTGGTGCTGTGAGTTAAACCGCAGAAGCCTCTGTGCTGCAAGGTCCGAAGACCAGCAGTCATAAGATTGAGTCCACACAATTGAGTGAGCTCCCATCGCTTGTCCCAGCTCCTGCCAACCTAGCAGTTCAAAAGCATGTAAAAATGCAAGTAGATAAATAGATACTACATCAGTGGGAAGGTAATGGCATTCTGTGTCTAGTCACGCTGGCCATGTGACCATGGAAACTGTCTTCAGACAAACGCTGGCTCTACGGCTTGGAAATGGGGATGCACACCGTCCCCTAGAGTCAGACACAACTGGACTAAATGTCAAGGGGAACCTTTACCTCTACCTTTACATTACTAAGAACTATATAATCAAACAATTAATACAAAAGGCTGATCTCAAAAAACTACTGGAGGATTACAAATCTATATTGCATGACAAGCAGTTTAAAAATTTAAATCAAATAAGGCTCTAGGGTTTTGTGGCTTCTAGGGAGGTTTCTATAAAACATTTTTTGCATATCTTAAGGCGTTTCCTAAATGGTATTTTAAATGCCATTCGATAAAGTACAAGAAGTTTCATTTTAAAGATGAATGAGGCATGAAAGCTCCTTTCTTACAAGTGTACATGACATATAGTCTAATAATAAAGCACTAATTTGAATTAATGGCATAGATTCCAATTTGTAATAATTAATTAGGGGACTGAAGAGGGTTGTCCTTGTTACCTCTCTTGTTTGGACTCACACTGAAACTATTAACTAGCTTACTGAGACAAGACCAATGCATTAGAGGAGTGCAGTGTGATGGACAAAAATATCTACTTAATCTCTTTGCAGATAATGTAGTAGTCTCTGTCTATGTTCTAATAACAGATGTCTCTAGGGTCCTGAACATCTTCAGTTGGGGCAGCATCAGGTCTAAAGGTTAAAAGTTCAAAAATTCCAAAACTTAATATCAGTATGAAAACATAAGAGGTACAAAAAACCTTACAAGAAATATGATACTGTGGTTATATTTCATCTAAATGTTTCTTGCTAATACAATAAATTTAAATAACTGTGTTGATACTATGTAATCCAATGGTTGTGAATTCTTACTTCAGAAATTGTTGAACTATTTTATAGCTATAGTGACTATAGGGACAAAACAAGAAAACTCACAGGGGTGCTGTGCTACTGCAGAGTCCTGTGTGTTGAATGAAGTGTGAATGAGGTTTTCTGTTATTTAGTTAGACAAAATGTGATACTTTTTGATTCAGTACAAACAAAGCCATATCTAAATTAATCATAATCATTAGCAGAAGATTATTTGTGGTCATGTAACAATGTAGTAAGAGAATGTGATGACAAAGAATGATATAAATTTCTGCTATGTAATTTATATCACAATATTCTTCTATTTCGCAGCTGAATCACACATTTCAGAATTGGAATTACACTGTATATGTGGTCAATATAAGGTAAATGCTTGATATAAAAGGTTATATATTATGTTATGAAGAAGGCTTTTTTCCCCCTGACATTTATATTTATGTTTTTTTTTCCTTGTAGCATACAGCCAAGTCCTTTAAAAGAGGGAATGAGGAGAAAGAGAGAGATAGATCCTCAAAGGTAAAGTTATGACAAATTATTGTGATGAGGACTTTGAAATAAAAGGATTTTTTTTAAAAATTCAGCAGATACTGACAATATATCTTAGAATGTATCAGGCCACTTACCTTGTAACAGCAGGAGACATATTTCTCATGGTTTTTCCTGCTGATCTGGGACTGTAGAAATACAAAGGAATCAAGTGGGTGGAATCAAGTGGGTTGATTCATATTATTTGCATCTGATCACCTTCTGACTGGGAAAAATAGAAAGTAACGTTGAAGTGGGACAGAAATATCCAGAGGCTCCAACTCATGTGATTCTTGTATCGTATTGTTCTCTTTCTGTGGCTCCACCCCCCCAACACATATAGCAACATAGGAAACATAGTGTCCATCATTTGCAGAAAAAATATGTATCCTCCATCATTCTTGTGCCACTGGGAAATGAGTGCAAGATGTTTTACCACAATAGTTCTATTCAGCTGGCACATTGCAGGGAGGGTGGATAGGAAAGACTCACTGGGTCTGAAGTCAAATGTTATATCATCAACAGGATGGAATTACATAATTATTATTATTTCTTAATGAAAAAGTTACTATACTACTTCTCATGTACATGTCAAAGTAGTGTACAACAAAGATAAAAAGGAAAGTAACAAGAAAACGAGAATCATTTTGTCCTAGACCAATAAGGGAAACAACTCCAGTCCTGCTGAAACAACAAAAAATAAATATATATCTTTATGACATATGTGAGAATCTAAGCCAAAGTGCCAAATTCATCACTTTGCAAGTTCTTTTTCTTTAACTTTCTCAATTTTCTCAGCTAATTATTCAAAAACAGGTTGTAACTTGGGTTATTCGGCTCTCAAGAAGAGGAGAGGAAAATGAAATACAAAAGTATCTTAGTCATCTGACATCACTTGGTAATTTACATCAAAGTGATGTAAAGTACAAATTGCTTACAATGTATTAGTCATACATGTTGATGACAGATGTATGTTTGCAGGTCTCAAAATACTTAAATTTACCAACACCTGTAACAACAAAAAGAGATACTTTATCAGCTGCAATGTGACAATGCAATTTTAACAGACTAAATAAAAGCCTGATGCTTTGTTGTTTTCTTATGGTGGTGATCTCCATGTTTACGTTTCCCAACTCAATAGTTTGCTGTTCCCCAGTGAGTTGTTCCCACTACAGAGCAGAGTTGAAAGGGTGATGCAGTGAATTATTATCCTTGTGCTGATTTTTCCACACTTTCTAACACAAGTATCACATGAATGTTTTTTTTTAATTTAACTCATTGGTGCCATACCCTTTTTTTTGACATCACACTAATGCCACACATTTGTGTTCCTGCTGCTGCTTTTCATTGAAAGGTTCTACAGATCATACATGTAGTCATATAACCAATACTGGGTTACATGGGCAAGAGATGTATCTTCCTGACAGCTACCCTGTTTCCCTGTGTGGACTCCTTGTTATATTTTGCAAACAGCTTTATAATGTTTGAATTTCAGTGTCATTTACCAGCTGAATAAATATTCTCATCTGCTCTACTTGATTATGATACTGAATTCTCACAATCTGTGTTTAATCTTATATTTAAAAATGACCATTCTTACTACTGATTTACCACAACTCGCTCAAAAAGCCAACAATCAGTTATATTTAACACAGAATTGGAGAAAAACTACACACTCTGAACTAAAAGTGCTAAATGGAAGATAACTAATTTGGTTATGATTTTATTGTGTACAATAAATTAAGTATTAATAGGGAGTATTAACATGGGGAATTACATTGCCTCATAACTTTTTTTTCCATTCTTTTCTTTTTTGTATACCACCATCTTGGAAACCTTTTGTTTAGCACTAATTAGTATAAATGCATTTTATATGTTTTTTTAACTTGTTTTAACTGATGTAAGCCGCCCCGAGTAGACATTGTCTAGAGGGGCGGGGTAAAAATCGAACAAATAAATAAATAAATAAGTAAAATAAACTTGGTACTGAATGTGGTACATCAGGGTCATTCAGTAGGAAGGAGAAAAAACCTTGCCAGGCTTTGTGTGCTTAGAAGGTAGGTGTAGCCATCCAAACTGAATTCAGTGTGATCCTTCTTTAGACCCTAAAGTGTCTAGAACTAATTGCCCTTTATGAACTTCCCTTAACACTAAGATTATCTTGAGAGGAAGGTGTTTGTAAGATTCCTGGCCTTCTGAAATGAGGTACATTATAACTGGAGAAAAGTTCTTTCCTATTGTAATACCCCAGTTCTCTCCAGGGAAAATGTACTGAAATTTCAATACATTTTTTTCTGTCAGGAAACATACTGTAAGAGATTATTAAGAGAATAAAAAGTGAACCAAACAGTGGGTTGGAGTACTTGGTGATGGAATCTATCCCTCTCATCTTTTATGATGATCCTTTTAGTTATTATTTTTAGACAATAAAAGGAATTGAAGAGTAGAAGTACTCGGTTTTATTAAGACCCCCCTTCATGTTTCTAGTCATTCAGACAGTGATCAAAAGGAAGATACATTTGTTCTTGGGACTCTATAATTCCAACGTGGTAGAATCTGACTTCTCCAGAAACAAAATGGGGATTTGTGTCCTTCCAGAGATTTAATACATACATCTCTGTACATAATTGTTGTATTTGTTCACTGTCAGATACCTACAGTATGTGAAGTTTCTAAGTCTAGTACATTTTAGAACTTAAATGCCAACTCTTCATTTCTCCTTACCCTTTTCTGCTATGTTCCACAAGGAATAACAATTACCTAATAAGAATTATAATCAATGGCTGAAATCCTGTTGCACTTGGCTATGTGTGTGGAAATTGGTGGGCTGTTATGCCCGGGCAGGCTACTTGTCTAACTGCATGGTTGTATACTGGATTTCATAACCACTTGTGCAATTGATTGCACGGTTGCACAATTAATTGCAAAACTACTTGCACAATTGCACCTGCAGAAATGCTTAGTGTAAATTTCACAACCACTTGTGCAAGTTCAAGTTACACAGACATAGCTATGCTTCAGGGTTTTCATCAGTGAGTTTCTTTACTTTGTTACTGATCTCTTATTGTTATGTTTGTTTTTTGTTTTTACTTCATAATTAAAAACATAATGACGAATACCACAGAAGTTTAGCAAATGTCACCAATAGTATTCATGTAAGTTTACTGTAGCTAATTGTGACTAAGTGATGAGATACTGGCATAAATCTCAGGTGCACAATTGAGTGCATGGCCAGGAACATTTCTGAAACATAGCACAGCACCCTATCAATTTATTGACAGGAAATTGTACAAACCTTACAGAAATATTGGTAGGATTTTGTCCATTGACAACAGACATGGTTTGATTTCTGAATTGAGAAAAGTATTCATAACTGAAATAAAAGCAGATGAGCTTTAATAATACTGCTGTCTTTTTTGATCACTTTCTCATGGCAATTAATCTTAACCCTATATTGCAAATAATCTTAACTACAGGTTATAAAAAGCAAGCCACTTTTTTCCACTGAGCATTAAGATTAACCACTGTTTGTTTAGGCTTAGACAACATGAGTTGCCCTCTCTATAAAAGAAGTGAGAGTTTCCAAAGTCTTCCTCCCGCCCACATGGGAAAAGATAGGGGAGAAAACACAAGCCAAAGCATTGCTTCAGTTTGTTCTCATAACACACTGACTTGTGGCTCAATATAATGTCTGAACAGGAGAGTCAATGAAATCATAAAATTTAAGATAGGATTTGCAAAACATAAAAAACAACATAAAGTGTAATTTATTTGATTCCTCTATGGTGGTAAGTCCATGAGTAAAAATATTATTCCTTTATATTTGATGAATGATATAAAGCAAATGCTGTGATCAAGCCCTACATCATAAATTATCTTTAAGATGAAATCGGTAGCTTATATTTTCAGTAACTGGACTGTTTTCTTTGTAGTTTTGATGTCCGGGCTCTTTTGGTTTACAATTCTACAAACAATGTAAGTTTAGAAGAACAGACAATTGAGAAGAAACTCATAAGCAGTAATGCTACTATGGGAAATGGTTGGAGACTCCAGAAAGTGGATGTTCATCCAGTTGGTAAGAATAGAATCTTCACATTTGCTTCCCTCTGTGCTTTTGTGTAGAAAGCAAGCAAGACAGCACCTTAAAGGGGGGTATTAAAATGTAAAAGGAAGAATGAGCCACTATAATCACTATATAGGATTACTACTTTGTTCTTTTTTCAAATCAGACATGTACATAGGCATAAGTACTGTGCTTTGAATTTATATCTATTATTTTGAAATGTAAGAATTACAAATTATTGGAATATTTGTAGGTAAACATGAGAGTGAACTTGACAACACTAGGCTAGAAACAGAGTGAGGGTATCCAATACCACTGATCTACTGCATTCATTATACACAGGGTGCAGCCCATGGAAATAGGATTTTAGTTAATTTGTATTAACTGAGTTACACAATCTATCTCCCAACAGTTGTTTATCTCCATACACAGAACATTTTGGACTACCCCAATTTTCTGTACTAGAAAGTGAGGAAATTTAAAGCAATTTGACAAACTTCAAATTTGGTTTGAAAAACCAAGATACATAATATTTATCAGATTAGGTGTTAAGTATTTGAGAAGATTCTCATATATACATACATATTTCGACTGGGTTTTGAGACCTCTTTCCAATAGGGAAAGCACAGAACTTCAATTCTGTAATGCCTGCAGAACATTATAGTTGTCAGTGTATCAATGCCTGCCAGTTACTAATTTGCAGTTACAGATTCGAGTAGCCATATATATGTTAAAATGATTTGCATATAAAAGTACAACAATTGTATTATAATCTAGAATTGTTGTGTGTTTTTATCTTCTAAAATCTGGATGGATTTGTAGAAAAATGTGAGAACCAAGAAAATCCTTCAAATTACTTTTGGCCAGATACCAGACCAATAGTGACTGAAAGCATATTCTGTCATGGCAGTACCACTCAAACTGCATCAAGGACATGGTAAGAGCTTGGAGATTAATAGCTGCTTAGCAGCGAGAGATAGCTGAAAAACAGTGTGGAATGCAATTGTATGGTGATAAAACACAAAAGAGTTGTATAAATATGTTAGTTATTTTGGTGGTGCTTTTTAGATGCAGAAGCAGAAGATGCAGGGAGTATTGCAAATACAGAGCTATGATGTGATGTCATAAGCATGTCTGAATTCTATTCTTTTAAACAGTGTTGTTAGGAGAGTAATGCCTATTTTATTTTTCCTACTAGTTTTCTTAACCTGGAAAATTACACATCATACTGGAGTGCTCCTGACCTCAGAAACTGTACAGGCAAGTGTTTGGATATTTGTTCTATTCTCAGGATAATTTTGAATTATTATTTGGTCTTTTGCATGCTTTGCTAGATTCTCATATATACATACATATTTCAACTGGGTTTTGAGACCTCTTTCCAATAGGGAAAGCACAGAACTTCAATTCTGTAATGCCTGCAGAACATTATAGTTGTCAGTGTATCAATGCCTGCCAGTTACTAATTTGCAGTTACAGGTTCGAGTAGCCGTATGTATGCTAAAATGATTTGCATATAAAAGTACAACAATTGTATTATAATCTAGAATTGTTGTGTGTTTTTATCTTCTAAAATCTGGATGGATTTGTAGAAAAATGTGAGAACCAAGAAAATCCTTCAAATTACTTTTGGCCAGATACCAGACCAATAGTGACTGAAAGCATATTCTGTCATGGCAGTACCACTCAAACTGCATCAAGGACATGGTAAGAGCTTGGAGATCAATAGCTGCTTAGTAGCGAGAGATAGCTGAAAAACAGTGTGGAATGCAATTGTATGGTGATAAAACACAAAAGAGTTGTATAAATATGTTAGTTATTTTGGTGGTGCTTTTTAGATGCAGAAGCAGAAGATGCAGGGAGTATTGCAAATACAGAGCTATGATGTGATGTCATAAGCATGTCTGAATTCTATTCTTTTAAACAGTGTTGTTAGGAGAGTAATGCCTATTTTATTTTTCCTACTAGTTTTCTTAACCTGGAAAATTACACATCATACTGGAGTGCTCCTGACCTCAGAAACTGTACAGGCAAGTGTTTGGATATTTGTTCTATTCTCAGGATAATTTTGAATTATTATTTGGTCTTTTTCATGCTTTGCTGAAGTATGGAGTTTCATGCTAGAGCTGAAGCCGCTATCTAACATAGATGTACATGCATTAAAACTCATCAATTTTAGTGGTTATGAATACACCTAATTATGTAGTGCTCATTAGGTTTTAATCTCATTGATTTCAGTTTAAACACATGTATGTGGTTGCTGGTTTACAGTTTAGGTCAGGATAGACGCCTAGTCCATATTCCTCTCAGCACGTTGTAGCAAAGGTGGACATTGGGCATTCTACAAGCCACATGCAGCACCTCTGCCTATTTTGAGAACCCATCTGCTCACCGCCATTCCGACTACCAAAATCATGCCACTTTCTCCCTGCTCTTCCTGTAATTGCTTTTAGAAGGGAAATGGATTTTCTGCCATGCAGTGTTGTGTGGCTCTATGGAACAGAGAGACTGCTCTAGCACCAGATGATGGAGAAAGGAGACGCTCTAGCACCATATCAGACAAAAAAAGAAGACAAAAACTATAACATCTTCTGTTCATTAGAGAGCTGCTGAAATTCCTGCCAATTCGTGGCAACAGCTGTAGCAAGGAATATAGCATGAGGAGACTGGATGGCAGTGCAGCCCCCTAACCTCAGAAGGTTTCTCGCTTCTGAACAGGGGCAATAAATAAATAAATTTCTGTTCTAAGCATGCATATAAAGGATATTTTGTTTGGGACTTTAACTGGGATTTCTGTTACTTTGTATATGTTATTTCAGAAAATGCAGCTGATATTGCCAATCAGCTTCTGAATCTCACAGGAGAAGGGCAGCAGCTGACTTCAGACAAAGTCAATGATGTCATCCAGAAACTCAAAAAAATTGTGAATGATGAAGAAATTAATGAATCTCTGGGTTCTACTGTGGTCACAATATTTTCCAATATTCTAACCAGTTCTGATAGTGTCCTGGCAGCATCATCTTCTGAGTAAGTATATCTAAAATGATAAAGAGTAGAATAATGGCTTACAAGAACATTTGGCTATTTATGTTGCTTTCTGATATGTTTGCAACATTATCTGTGACTTTAGTAATATATTTACAGTTCACAGATATAAGCACAAAACAGCTCTGCTGAAATTCAGTTAAATTGCCTACTGAAATTAACAAACTAATACTGACTAAATAGAAATACACTCAGAAGAAGGAGATGTCCTGAAGTCTCATGCATGAATCATGATGCAGCTAAAGAGGCAGTTTTGGTTTTGAGGTTGCTTGGGCAACAGCAGTATTGAGAGCTCTGAATATGTCACTCAAGTTTTTAATGTGCCTTTTACTACATATGCCATTATAGATGTTTGGTATTGTTACAAAATAATATTAAAAAAATTAAAAAAAAAAAAAAGCACCACCAGGGGCATCTGTTAAGTCCTTACACACAAAATGTGTGTTTACAAAGAGGAAAGCTGCTGTGAAGGAAATACTGTCTGTCTCTCTTTCACTCTCCTGGCACTGAAGATACAATGCAAATTACCGTATTTTTCACACAATAAGACGCACTTTTCCCCCACAAAACGGGGGTGGAAAGTCTGTGCGTCTTATGGAGCGAAGAAAACAGATTATATTTTCCTGTTTTCTTCTCCTAAAAAATTGGTGCGTCTTATGGAAAGGTGCGTCTTATGGAGCGAAAAATACGGTAGTCAGAGGTACAGCTGACTGGCTTTGACCCCTCTCCACATTTGATCTTAAAGGATCTATCTCAGGACGAGATAAGCTCCTATATACCCTGTTTTCCTGAAAATAAGAGCTAACCTGAAAATAACTTCTAATATGATTTTTCAGGATGCTCGTAAGCCCTACCCCCAAAATAAACCCCAATTAAGTGAAACCCCACTATCCACTGTTGTGCAGCATTGTGCAGCAACCAGAAGAAGATGACATGACTGTATTTGAATAAATGTAGATGGTTGTACATGAAAAAAAAAACATCCCCTGAAAATAAGCCTGAATGCGTTTTTGAAGCAAAAATTAATATAAAACCCTGTCTTATTTTCGGGGAAACACAGTATATCTGGATAACTCATATCCCAGTCTTTGATGGCATTTTGAAAAGTAGAAGGCAGAACAGATGACTGTTAAAAAGGCAAAATTCCTTCTTGATGTTGGCATGGCACTTGTATTCTGAGGACTTTCACAAATATATATTTAAAATGTAATGTTCTGCTTGATTTTAGAGCTATAAAGACCATTGATGCTTTAGCACTGAAAATTCAGTTTTCAGGCCCCTCCATGAGTATCTCATCAAGGAACCTAGCACTTGGTGTTTCATCTTTGAATTCAACTTTGTTCAATGGCTCCTCCTTCAGTATCGGTCCCCAAAACAATGCTTCAGATTTCCAGGTAAAGGTTGCCAGTTTTCATATAAACATACAGACTTATCTCCAGGGGTTATGGACAGGGCCAAAATTCCAGTGAGTCCAATGGAATATTGAGATTGTCAATGCAATTACATGCCCTGCCTGCTGTAGTTTTTCTGCCAGCTTGCACAGGTGTCTCAGGCTTTCAGTAGCAACTGAAATAAAGAAGCAGACACAGAGAACACAACTTCAATCAAAAGATTATGACTGTACAGCACCCCAGCAAATATGCTCAGTGCAGAGGGGAGTAATTGTTTATTCCAGACATGGGGTGCGTTTCTGTTTTTGGATTACAGCTTCTAGAATCCCACAGCCCTCATGGCTTCTCATTAAATCCTTTTCAATGAGAAGCAAAATAAAATTAACATAGCCCTATTGTTCACATTAGATTACATAAACAATATTCAAGAAGGAAACCTGAGTTATTTTTCCAGGGTATGAGCTACATTCTTGTTGCTAAATAGGTTTTATTTCATTTTTATACAAGCACCACCATTCATCTTCTAAGACATAAGATTTTATTAGGAGCATTTTACTTCTGATGTGTAACTCTAGATCTCTGTGTGTGCTTTACACTGGTTTGCCATGCATGCAAATAGGGAATGATCTTATGAATAAATGCAGTTTTGATTTTATTGTTTGTGCTGCTCTTTTCTCATCCAAAAGGAGATGTGCAAAGTTGCTAACAGGAAAAAAGGAGAAGGCCATTCCAAAATACCATATGAGTAAGTGGCAGAGTGGTTCTCAGTGAGGTGTAGTGGATAGATTAACAGACTAGGCCTCAGAAGGTGGCCTCGGTTCAATTCTCCGGCTCTGCCAGGGAAACTCACTTGGGGGGGGGCGGTATATGTTAAACTAGTAAAACCACTCGTTAAATATCTTGCCTTGAAGACTCTGTTAGGGTCACTATAAGTCAACTCTGACTTGACTATACATAACAACAATAAAAACAACAACAAAGAGACAATGCATCAGAACCCCATATAAAAATGATATTATTTAAGTTATTTTTAAGTTAACTTTACATCTTTTTTGTTCACTCTGGCAACACACAAGAAATGTAAAAAAACAGCATACAAAGTGACAATTTATAAAAGAAACTATAGCAGTAAAAACACGTGAACTACAAAAATACAAGAACAGATTCTTGGCAATAGAAAAAAAAATTCTCAATCAGAAAAGTTTTTTAATACTAACATTAGTTTCAACTATTGAACTTATCAGCTTTCAGTTTCAAATTTTCTGTCTCACTACTACTGTGTGACGCAGAACTAGCACAGAAAGAAGTTATTATGATAAACCTTAAAAATTTCACAGTTTCCAGAACAAATCTGTTACTGACTAATAATTAATAAATTCATATTCATCAGCATAGACATGCATTTAGCATGGAAAATGTATTTCATCTTTGTTTTGTTGTAAGTTTTCTCTTTTTTGTATTGCAGATTGATTTTGACAAAAACCAAGAAAGTTCTCTGGCCTCAGTAGTTTTGCCTCCAAGTTTATTAAAGAATTTAAGCCAAGAAGATCTTGAAGCTATATCCAGGGCTCAGTTTACTTTTTTCAATAAAAGTGGACTCTTTCAGGTAAGCAAAAGCATATTCCAATGAAAATTAACATCTTCCTTTAGATGAGTTAATTAGTCCATTAACAGTATTGCAAAAAAAGTATTTTGCACTTCATCTGATTGATGCCAGTGAGATTATTGATAGTTGTGTTCAGAATAACGGGGTAGAGAGTGAAACCATTCTGCAGTGAAACAGAAGCAGTGTAGGATAGCTCTATTCAGAGAAAATTGAACTATGCACTATTTGGGGAGCAGGGACAAAGAAATCCATCAGGGTCAGCAAGTGCTTCATAATAGAAGTGTGCTTTTCAAACTCCATTTCACCTCATTTTGCTTTACTTTCATTCCACTCTGTATTTCTTGGCTCCGGGTGATAGGCACTAGATTCTGTATGAGGAGTGTTGCTCTACAAGTATCTCCTTCATACAAATGAGAGCAAAAGATGTCAAACTTCCTTTCTAGATGAGATTACAGGAGGCATTGTGTGTTTTTGACAATTATTTGGCAAAAATTCACAGAAATGTTTTTGTGTCAAAAATATATTTTACGAAAATTACCTTGAGTTTTGCACCAGAAATGTATTTTGTACAAGCTATATTTAGGACAAAAGAAAACAGCTTTGCCTAATACTATTACTGATGGAAAAAGAGTTAACCTTTTCTGATGTCCAGCATGAGACTTTTTGAGCTCTAGGGTCTGTGTCAGAAATCCTGTTTTTATAAAGCGCCATCCATCCTACTACTGTACTCCAGATCCCTTGTGTTAAGTCTGGTATCTGTGCAGTTGAAAATAATAAAGTAAAAAAAGACACTTGTGATTAAAAGCAAGGAAAGGTAATGAGAAACTAACAGTACCTTATAAGGAAGATGTTAATCTGGTGCCAAAGGAAAAGGAGACTGACAACTAGAAGTAATAAATGAATAGGACGTTATATATTCACTGGGAAGTAGGACTGACAAATAATTGGCTGTTGATTATAATAATATAATAATAATATTTTACATTTAGAGTAAAATTCTTATGCCACTGAGTTCAGTTTCAATAGGAGAATTTTTGATCATAAGTACATGATTTTGAAGGCATATAAATTGACTTTTGTCTACTATCTACAAAACACGAAAAAGAATTTTGGAGGAGTCCCAGAAAAATATTATTTTATATTGCAAGGAAATTTTGTCAAAGTAAAAAAGCTTTGTGTTTTTTAAAATAAACTGCTTGCTTCCTATAAATCATTTTAGTGACCTTTGTATCCACAAAACTCTGTAATATTTTGTCTACATGTATTACACTTTTTATTGGAACTCGATGTTATGAAAGTGGTAGCTCTAATCCTGACAAGGCAGAAGTGCTATTCACCGAGCACTTTCACAAGATCATTATGCAATCAGCTGCAATGGGAACTGTACAATAGGTTGCATAATTGAACTGCACAATCCTCATTGCATGAGCAGAACACCAAAATATTTACATAGGTGTAACAGAGTTTGAATCTGCATTTGTCCATGGAAACTCACTGGGGTAGTGGTAGTGGAACTGGTGAAAACACTCCTTAAATATCTCACTTACTGTGAAAGCTGTATGCAATCAGCTGCAATGGGAACTGTACAATAGGTTGCATAATTGAACTGCACAATCCTCATTGCATGAGCAGAACACCAAAATATTTACATAGGTGTAACAGAGTTTGAATCTGCATTTGTCCATGGAAACTCACTGGGGTAGTGGTAGTGGAACTGGTGAAAACACTCCTTAAATATCTCACTTACTGTGAAAGCTGTATTAGGGTTCTCCTTAAATATCTCACTTACCGTGAAAGCCGTATTAGGGATCTTATAAGTCAGTTCCAACTTGATGGCACATAACTAATTAACATTATATTACAAGTGTAATCTAGCACGGCAGATCAACATAACTGTGACTTTTATAAATACACTCAGTAATCTCTGTAGAATATTTAGTTCTTCCTTAAATATCTCACTTACCGTGAAAGCCGTATTAGGGATCTTATAAGTCAGTTCCAACTTGATGGCACATAACTAATTAACATTATATTACAAGTGTAATCTAGCACGGCAGATCAACATAACTGTGACTTTTATAAATACACTCAGTAATCTCTGTAGAATATTTATTTCTTGCATTACAAATAACTTTGTATAGCAAAAGAAATGTTTGCACTTCAAAAAAGCTCATAGAAAATAGGATTTTTAAAAACTACAAAAAGTATTAAAACACACAAGAAAATTAGAGGGATGTTGCAATTAGAAATGCACAGAAAAGAGTGTGAGAGAGATGGAGAAAAGATTGGAGAAAGACAAAATGGATCGCTTGCCCTCTTTGCGCTCCAGTTCCACTCACCACTGGCATGGAAGCTCTGAGAAATCATATCAAAAGGAGTATGAGCCTCAAGAGCAAACAGTTTCTTCTCTCTTAATCTGCATGAAACTGATCTTAAGTATTACATGAATGGGCATGAGTGACCCTCAAAACTGTGTACTCTCTCCTCTCCTGCTTATGTATAACTGCAAGGAAGCATGTGGAGGTATCTACTATCACTTTTAAACAAACCAGCATTCCCCATTTTGTGCAAACTCAGGAGAAGTTTGGTCAGTTTAAAGTTTGGTTTGCTTAAACAAGTCAGTATAAAGTGATGGCCTGTATAGGAAAGTAATTTACAATGCAATTCCTCATAAAAGGGATTTTTATATAAATATAAACATTTCAGGGGGGGAATTGGTGTTGGATATTTAGATAGCACATATGAATTGAGGAACTCCTTTTGGACAGAACTTTAAAATCTTATCTTCATTATTTTTGAACACCCATTATATGTTAGCATGCACTGGTACAAGTAATAAATATATTGTGTTACAGTTTATCTTTAACGGCAAAACCAAAAGATTATCTTTCCTTCCTCTGGAGAAAGTTTTGTTAATAAGATAAGAAAACTATTATATTCTTGGTTTGGGAAGTGATCTAATTATGTCAGAATTGGATATCAATCAGCATTGTTTGAGAGTTAAATCTGGTTTGCTTCAGAAGAAAGTAATTGAGATAGGAACCTACTGGAGGCTGTTGTACAGGCTGTCCTTATGACTCTATATGTCACAATAATAAGGGAAACAGCAAAGATTTTGGGAGGGAAGGCAACTGTTTAAATATATAAACAGGATGTTCTTATAATGGGTGATGTTAAGTGTTAATGTGCTGGCAACTTATTTATTCTGGCAATGTGAAGAAATAAAAGTATTTGTTCTAGCTACTGCTCTGAAGACTCAGGAAAATACTTTCTGCTGTGATTTTCTCCCAAAGGATCCCACAGTTCACACCAATTTAACCAGTTACGTTGTGGCATGCAGCATTGGAAATACTACGATCCGTGATCTCCAAGATGCTGTGAAGATTACGATTAAGCATACAGTTAGGAATGACAAAATCCAGGTAAGAGGGCTGGAATTTTTATGTGGTTGCAAAAACCTGTACAGTGGTGCCCCGCTTGACGACAATAATCTGTTCCAGGAAAATCGCTGTTAAGCGAAATCATCGTCAAGTGAAAAAAAAACCATTGGAATGCATTGAAAACCAGTTAATGCGTTCCAGTGGGGGAAATACCTCATCATCCAGTGAAGATCCTCCATAGGGGAAGCCATTTTCGATTGCTGTCTTGCAAACAATCGGTCCGGAAAACAGCGGGGAGCCATTTTGCGATTCGCCGATCAGCTGATTTTAATCGTCGCCAGCAAAAAACCAGTTCCTGAAGCAGGGACATATTCATCGTAAAGCTATAGCGATTGCAAAAAACTCATAGTCAAGTGATTTCGTAGTCAAGCAGGGTCATCGTCAAGCAGGGCACCACTGTAGTATCATCCACTGCCAAATAGAAAGAGATTTATCCAGTCATTATCAAGCAACAGAAAATAGGAAACAAGAAATATGAGTTTTATACATGGAAGAAGTTCTGGCACACAGGAGTATTAGTCATAACACATTCCATTGAGCAATTTATAGCTTCTTTAAGAGCAAGTCAATATGTTGGTTTTGTTTGCTGCTGGTACAGTAGTAGTCCTGCCAGGCAGACACATATCCATGAACATATCCTTCTTTTAATGATACTTGTGTATCCTTTTACAAACAAACATATACACATACCTTTGAAGTTCTCAATGGTACCTCCACTTGTTCCTGCAAATAGGAACTCATACTTGGGATGGCAATTGGAGAAACAAAAGTGATAACTGTAAGAGCTTCTATCCCCGGTAAATCATCTTTTAATAGAATAGGATAGTGGAGTTGGAAAGGATAGTGGAGTTGGAATGTGTCTATAAGACCATCAAGTCCAGCCTCCTGCTTAATGAATGAATCTAAATCAAAACAGATCTGGCAGACGGTTGTCTAATTTTCTCTAGAATGCCTCCAGCGTTGGAGCGCTCACCACTTCTTGAGGTAATTGGTTAACAGGAGATTTTCCCTGATAATCAGCCAAAATTTGGCTTCCTGTAACTTCAGCCTATTGTTATGCATCTTGCACTCTGGAATGATCAACAACAGATTCTGCCTTTTCTCTGTATGACAGTCTTTCAAGTATTTGATAAGTGCTGTCATATCTCTCTTCAATCTTCTTTTCTCAAGGCTAAACATGCCCAGTTCTTCCAGTCCCCCAAACATTCATCCTTGTTGCCGTCCTCTCAACTTGTCCCAGTTTTGGCATCCTTCTTCAAGTGCAATGCCCAGAAGTGGACACAGTGCTCTAGATGAGACCTAACCAGTATCTAACCAGAGGGGAACTAGTGCTTTACAGGATTTGGATACTATACGTCTGTTAATGCTGTGGTCAGAGAACAGGGGTAAATTACCCCAAATGGGGTAAAAAATAAAACTCCTGGGGTAATGAAGATGCGACCCAAACCCCCTTCCCTCCTGCTGCTCCTCTTCTGCCCGGAGGGGGATCCCCAGCAGTCCGATCGTCCCCTTCAACCCCCTTCTCCAGCCTGGCTGCAACCGAACCATGGCGGATGGCAGCCGGCAACAAGCCCCGGCCAGTGCCGTACAGCAGCTGAGGCAGTGCTGGAGCTGGCCATGGCAGAGGGCAAGGCTGGGGGAGTGGCTGGAGCACCCCAGCCAGGAGAAGCTGCTCTTTCCAGTGCCTGGAGAGGTGGATTGCAGCAGAGGGGGGAAGGCACAGCCCATGCCCCATCCCCGGAGGATCCTGTCAGGCCTCTTGCCCTCCGTGCAACAGCTGTCGCAGTGCTTCGATAGTGAGGCCTGTGGTCGCCCCGGTGGGCAGCCACCAGAGCCGGAGCAGGGGGCGGTGGTGGGAGCCGCAAGAGGGAGCCACCCACCAGTGGAGAAAGGGAGCCACCCCCATTGCACCAAGGACTGAGTGCAGCCCCACCAGGCAGCGGCGGCCCAGGCGGCGAGGCTTCGGCAGCAGCACTTGACTGGCCGCGTGTGACCGAGATACTTCCTTTCAAATCAAGGGGGTAATGTCGGCGTATATAGATTTTTTAGGGGGCAAAAGGTAAAAATGTTCCCTAACTTTCAAATCAAGGGGGTAATGTCGGCGTATGTAGATTTTTTAGGGGGCAAAAGGTAAAAAAGTTCCCTAATCCCTGTGTTAATGCAGCCTAAAATAGCATTTGCTCTTTTTTTGCAGCCACATCACACTGTTGGCTCATATTCAGTTTGTGATTGACAACAGTACTAGGATCCCTCTCGCTCATATGTTTCCTGCTGGAAATATGACTGGGGCAGGAACTAAACATTTGCAGATAATCTATAGTAAGCTTTTTACTGTGGATTGTCTGCAAAATGGAGCAAACTGGATGATGGTGGCTGGGAAGCATTTTAGGGTTGACAGCAGCGATGCAAGTTCTTCCCGGTTGCTGCTATGCCACCATTGTCACCTTTGCTAACACTGTGCTTCCCATTCGCCACTGTTGAGTGGCCCACTGGACAAGTAAGCGCTGCAGGGAAGGAAGTGTGCTGTTTATATACCATCTCTTAATGTTCTGACCATTGTCACCTTTGCTAACACTGTGCTTTCCCATTTGCCACTGTTCAGTGGCCCACTGGACAAGCAAGCACTGCAGGGAAGGAAGTGTGCTTTTTATATACCATCTCTTAATGTTCTCTCTGGATGGTTTGCAATTTAATTATGCAGGCTACACACAAGAAGAAGGGCTCCCTCACCTGATTAACCACAGAGGAAGCCCTATTGCACTTTAATGTAGTGCAAAATGGATGCCATTTTAAAGCGCAGTAGGTTTTATTTTATGTGAAGAATTAAACCTGCCTTGTATTCAGCCCAGTTTTTACTGGGCATGTGGTTGCAGCACAGTCTTCAATATAAGTCTTCTCTGTTGGTAGAAAAGCTCGTGGCAAAAGGTACTGTTAAAAGCATCTTAGTGTGAATGGGAGGTCTCACTCTCCAAGCAAATATCAGTTCCAGAAAAGGGATTTCTGAACAGCATCAGGGGAGGAAAGAGTTAAATTTCTAATTCTGCTAATTATTATTCTTTTCCCCACATCACACATTTTACAAATATCTACACATTTTTGTTTGCTTGGTTACTTGTTTGTTTCGTATGCTGCCTTTCTTCCCATAGGTGACCAAAGACAGATTGCAATCAACATAGAAATGCAATAAAAACACAAGAGTAAAAAAAAGTAAATAACATTAAGACCTGGTTAACTTCATTCATGTCTCGATCATTATTACCTTTGTCATCCTCAATTCACACAAGTTTAATTATGTATTGAAAAACTGAATGCAGAATATGTTTTGTGAGTTTTTAAAACTTTATTTAGTGTAAAAATTTAAGTAATACATAAATCCCTTTTAATGCTTATAGATATATGATTATAAGAGCTTTTTAATTTTTTCCCCATGTATAAATATATAGAAGTCTTTGAAACCTACCTGTGTCTTTTGGGATATGAATAAAAACAGTAAGTATAGTTTTTCTTTTCTTTCCCTCTGCCTGCCTTCATTTCTGATACAGGAAAATTTTTGCTCTCATTAGCTCTAATTTTTGAAATTTCTTCTTTCCTACATGATTAAGATTATGTCAGCCTTTTTTTTAAAGGAACATTATGTAATTATACCTAGAGTTGATTAAAAATGGGGGGCGCACCTTTCAGTGGAACTGAGTTTCCACAGGGTGAGGGCTGATTCCTGCCAGCTTTGCACAGATGTTTTTCCTTTCCTATAAAATAAATTCACAAGCTCTGCTCCTAATTTTACATGAGATTAGCCAGGGAGCCCATGGAGTGGGGAGACATGTAAAGCAGACGTGACACTGTTATTGTGAAATATTCTTGTTACATTGGGCTGTTGTTATTCCTTTTTTCCTCTTCTTGTTTCTACTCATTAGGCTCAGGTCTTAATCCCAATGATTAATGTTTTTTACTTCTAAAAAACCACACAATTTAAATGTTAGTGTACACATGAGGTAGGTGCACATATAGAGCACTGTATCTGAAGAGCACGTTTTTCTGCTCCCCGTCAGAGATTTGTTTGTTTTGGGGCAGATGAGGAATCAATTCATTGGAATTGATTCCGCATTTGTGAATGCCCCATCCACTTTTTAAAAATTTCTGCTACCAGATAACAGGAACTAATAATAATATTAATAATAAAAGCACTGGGCTGGCTGAAAAAGCCAACACTCGCCCATTCATCTCCCTCTCCCTGATCACTGCCACCCCAGCTGCCTGCCTGATCACCGCTTTGCTGGCTTGGTCACCATCTCTTACTTGCTGGTCCCCATGGCCACCCGCCCAGTTGTCCCTTGACCTGTCCCATTGCCCCATTCACTCAATGCCCCAGTTGCCTGCCCGATCACCTCTTCACCCACCTGGTCACCCCCTCCCTCACTGCCACCACCTACCCAATCACTTGCCTCCTTGCCCTCCCACCCTCACCCCTAATCTCTTGCCCCTTTCCCTTTTGTCCTCCTTCCCATCCCTTTCCATTCTTCTTGCCACCACCCTGTTGGACCCACCTGATAGGAGAAAGCAGTAGCCATGTGGCAGTGGGGAGCCCATGGAGTTGGCAGCAGGGTGACAAACTACAACAAATGTTTTGGATTCAGGCTAAATTCCATGTGACTTTAGCCTGAATCTAATAATAAGATCTCTCGGCTGGTTTATTCCAGCAGCAGGAACAGGCTCAAAAGTCTTATGCCGTTTTAGTAGTAGTGCTGAGACACATACACTCCATACCTGACAGCCTTCTGTACTACTGGCAATCTGCTCAAGACATTTCCTAGCCCCCCAGAAGGTTATAATCTGTTACAGGATGGAGGAGAATCACCCCTACTGCAGATTGCCTATTGTTTCATTGTATGCTTGTATAATTTTTAGATATGGGAGATGAAGACAGATCTGGCTGGCACAGGCGGATGGCTTGATTAACACCCACCCCCAAAATGAACATCACGCATGGCTGGTGTCATCAACATTATGTCAATTGTGGCAGTAGCCCGGCTTGCTACTCAGCAGCTGAGCAAGGAGACTTATCATCTCGCCCCCTTGCCAGAGTGGTCAGTTGAGCAGGGAGACGAGGCAGTGCGTGCCAGGCTACTGCTGCAGTTGGCATATTGTCAGTGACATCATTTCCATGCACTGCACACTGCACTGTAAGTGGACCAGTGGATTCTGGGGGTGGGCATTAATCAGGCTGGCCACCTGTGCCAGTGAGATTAATCTTCCAGGAGACAAAGATGAATCTCCCATGTCTAATAGTTCTTGTAATACTGTATATTCTATAAGTCACATAATGTATTTTGTGATTTAAAAAGTGGAATCATAATTATTGTAACGACCTGCATTCCATGATTTCTCTAGAAGGCCAAGGAGGGTGGAATACTGATGGCTGCTTTACACAAATACAGTCAAATCAAGATGAGACCATTTGCTTATGCTATCATCTTACACACTTTGGTGTCCTAATGGTGAGTGTGAGTCCTATTTATTCTTTAGATTCAGGAATTGGGAAAATGCAAGTTCTACCTCCTTTGGTATTGTTTTAATGATTTTCTTTAAAACATTTTTTTAGGAGTACTGAGTTATATGAACATTATTCATGGATCACATCCATTCAGAAAATATTTCATTCAAAACACTGAGCTTCTTTCCCCAGCATCTTAGCCAACAAGCATACTGAGTGTAACAGTTCTTTAAAATTCTGATCACTTTTAGAAACAGAACTATATTCTGGCAATTCTTATATCCTGTTCTCAATATCAATATTCATTGCTTTTACTATCTTTTTTCTGTCTAGGAAGAAAATTAAGCTGGTGTCTGATTTATCTTCACTGGTTAAAACAGGTTTTGTTTGTTTTAGGAAGATCTATGAACCCCAAAAAACAAAGCATGAGAATGATCCTTCCCCTCCCCCCACATTTGATTTCTAACACATTAAAGCCACAAGACATATACACTTAATGAAATATTAGGTCCTTCCACATTTGACTTGAATTTAAGTATTAAAACTACCACAAATCCTTGTACTCCCTTTTCAGGTTTGTTCTGTTCCTTTCATGTATCTGTGGGAAATGAAGGCGTTTAAATTCAATGTGGCCTTTCTCCTGCTGTGAGTTCCTTTGTGAGAGATTCGGAAATGAGGAGAAAGTACTTGAAATCTTGGCAGAGTTCCAGTCTGAAAATTATAATATTTCCTTCTAAACTCCCCTCCCTTTCTTTCTCTCTCTCTCTCTCTTTAACCTCTTCAGGATTTGGATTTACATATAATAGCACCAGTCTGTTAAGGATTAATTGTGGGCAGAAATTTGTACCTTCTCAGTCCCTATCTGCATATTAGGGAGGCTTACCAGCAAATTGATTTATTCACCTCTTTGGAGGTTAGGTGTTTCGATTCTCCTTCAACAGTTGACTAAAAATGACATTGCTGAACATTGTTGGTGGAAAGGATTCTTGCACATGCAAGTAGATGTGCAGTTAATTACTATGAATAAGGAATTACTCTGGACAAAGATTGAGGCCATTTATCATTAGTTAATCTCCACAATAGAATATTTCCAAAATAATTAATGGTTATTAAGCACTATCATCTGCTTCTTGGAAGTGCAAGGGTTGCAGAAAAGTATATTTCATCAGCAAAATGGGAATGATAAAGATTGCAATCTTATATACACATTCCTGGGGGGTTTACTAAACAAATATGTACAGATGTGTAATAATCTCATAATACTTCAATTTTCTAATCATCTGTATTTAGGTAGAGCAAATAATGCTGTTATTTCCTAGACTTTTTAGAACTATTATATGATACTTACAGTGAAAAAATGGGGCAGAAAAGAAAACGTCTTCGGCAGTTTTATAATTTATTTCATAATCAAAAGATTTTTGAATTGCCTTTCTGCTCAAATAGCCAATCTTCCCAAGGCAGTATACAACTTAAAAAGACAATTTAATAACAAAATAATCAAATTAAAAGCAAGACAAGCCAGATGGTAGTTCCTGCATTAGTAGTTACAAGTTAAATATAAATAGTAATAATATGTTTTAAGTTTTTAGAACAAGGCTGTTTGCTAACAGTCTTTTCTTTAGTTATATCAAAAAAATAAACCAGGGTGAGTTGGCTTTGCCAAGCAGTAAAACATACAGCTGGCACAGAAATATTAAAAAGTAAAACTGTCCAAAAAAAGCAAAAAAGAACAAAGAGAGGGCAGTAATTCTGCAACATTTGATCAACTTTTAAAAAATTAGCACTGCTTGAATATTCCATTTTGCTTCAGCCCATGAGGCCATCACTAAAATAAATGTAAAAGCTTCTCTAGAACATTATCATTCAGGTGGTGTCATGGGAAAATACAGTAGATATCTAAACTGCCTCACATGATGATATTATGCATGGCAAATAAAAGCAAATGCCTTTAGGGACATGAAGAACAATTGCTAAGTTCTAATGATTGTTTTGCCTCCAGGCTGAGAGTGAAACAGGGAATGCCACTGCTCTTTCTAAAATTGTCTTCAGTTTGTACACAATGACTCTGCGGCAGTCTGCATAAATGCAGTGTTCTTTCCCTTTAAGGAGCAAAGCACAGAAACACATAGCAAGCGCAGAAGAACTATTTGGTTGTTTAAAAAAAATCCAAAATATATGCACAATCATCCAGTACTCCTAATTCTTAAAAGCCCACATAATCAGGGTGGCAACTATCATAGTTTGGAGCATTTTGCACAGGTCACACAAGATATACAGATTGTCTCAACCTCATCCCACTCCACATAAATAGTGCAATTTCAGTGAATGTGTTGCATCAAAAACAATACAAAACTGCATGCTGTCTCTCTGGGTGAGGTTTTTAAAATCAATCAATTAATGCAATTCCTCTTCCTTGCCTGCAAAGATGACGGAAGAATTTGTACCCCTAGATGTACTAGCAAATACAAGAACTATGCTTTCCTGACCACCACTAAAGAACATAATAGAGGTTTGATTATGAGAAAAATGGACAGAAATGCTGTCTAACTAAAGGAAGTAATTGCAGAGGAAAATTTATGTCTGGAAAAGGATCTGTATCTTTGAGAAACAGAAATCATGGAGGAGGTAAAGTGTTTTAATCCTTTCTTACTCACTGAAACCTGAGGAAGGAAAGAGTCTGCAGCTGTGATTACTACCTATTCTTAGAAAAGCAAAAACCACTCCTCTGTTTTTGCTTCCCTTGCAGTTTAAGATGTTATTTCCTTCCACATTTTACAGCCAAAGAAAATGATCCAAATAAACATGTTTTTAAAATTCCAACAATGGTTTTAGCTATGAAAAACCTGCTATAGAGATGTTAACCAATTTCCTTCTCCAAATAATTCTGGTCAAATAATTATCTTTACCATTATGTGTTTGGGACCAAAGAGGGGAAGAATGCATACATGGTAAGCAGCGGGAATGAAAAATCAGCTGTGTCCCTCAAGAAATGAATGTCCTTACACCTGAGTGGCACCAAAGTCTGCTTTAGAACTCTGAGAGATGCTGTGGGGGCTCATATCCCATAACTTCTCCTTCCCTTCCACCCCTTGATAGGGGTTAAATCTGGAGACTCACTGCTGACTTGTATCAAGAGTAGTGAACTAGGGTTGACAAATAGTCTCACTTAGTATATGACAATGCCCTGCATTCCTATTCTTATAGTCTAAATATAAGAAATTCGGGGAAAAATGGGAAATAGCGAGTGGAAATGTACCATAAAATGTTTCTTGAGAACTTCAAGAAAAAAATCATATGAACAACAGAAGGTTGTGTTTTAGTTTACAGCTGTTACACTACTTACACTTCCACAAGAGCGGTAGGAAAGAAACATGAGGTGTGACAGCTATGTACTAAATATATCAAGTGACCCCTTTCCAGCCAACATTCCCCTGTAGTTTTCACCTATTTTGTTGCAATTAAAGAAGGCTTCTCAAAAATGTATTTACAACACTTTGTATCTCCTTTTCACCTTATTTGTAGGACCTACCAAGAACAGCTTCACAAATAGATCCTGAGAACACCAGAGTACTAACTTTTATCACATACATTGGTTGTGGGATATCTGCTATATTTTCAGCTGCAACTCTTCTGACATACATTGCATTTGAGTAAGTATTCTGTTACAGCTAGAGATGGGGACAAACTGTCATGCTATGTCTTGGTTCATGGTTCATCAAGGTTGAAGAACCACAAATTTACCATTGTTTTACTGATGAAGCACAAATTGTTTCATAGGTACTTGGTTTTTTAAGACAACCCACTGCTCCCTTGCCTCCCTACCTGGTCCTACTGTCTCCTTCTCCACAGCTCTCCACCACCTCAGCACTGTAGCATCCACTGCTATCTTTGCAAAGGACAGTAGCATTCTGGCAGCCTAACCCTTCCTGCTCTGCGTATGGGAACAAATAAAAAACATTCATTTCTTCATATTTGTTGAAGTCTCCAAAACTGAGGAATACCATTCTGGCAGCCTAACCCTTCCTGCTCTGTGTATGGGAACAAATAAAAAGCATTCATTTCTTCATATTTGTTGAGGTCTCCAAAACTGAGGAATATGAAACAATGAATATTCAACAAATCAGCAATTTCTTATGAATATTGTGATTGGGGGGGTATTCATTCCCATATCTAGTCACAACAGATTTTTATTATTAATACCTTTCAATTTCTTAGTAAAATGTGCTGTGGGACAGATGCAGATTTCTAAATTCAGATTATGATCAGTGGACATGAAGAACCAGAGTCAATTGTCACCTTATGTATTGTCAGTTTAATCGATGTTCACTTTCATTGATCCATTATATATTGATTCATTATGCCCTGATTGCAGAGATGTTGTTCTAATGTTGCAGGCCAGTAAGCCAGAATAAATGCGTAGAAGCAAAGTGATAAAATAATATTCAACCAGTGAGGAGTTTGGTAACGCATACCCTGTCTCCCTGAAAATAAGACCTAACCTGAAAATAAGCCCTAGTATGATTTTTCAGGATGCTCATAATATAAGCCCTACCCCCCCAAAAAAAAACCACTGTTAAGTGAAACCCTGCCCTCCACCAGTGTGTAGCACTATGCAGCAACCAGAAAAAGATGACATGACCATATTTGAATAAATGTAGATTGTTGTACAAGAAAAAAATAAAACATCCACTGAAAATAAGCCCTAATGCATTTTTGGATCAAAATTTAATATAAGACCCTGTCTTATTTTCGGGAAATCATGGTAGCATTGAAGAGTAATGCACGCACACATTCACACACACACACATACATGCATGTGTGCATACATATGCCCATGTGCACACAAACACCAACATGCACATAACAGATTAAGAGTTAATTTTGTTGCCCTGCTAATGTGAATCTGTTTATTTTTATTTCTTTGGTTAGAATAAGATCTGGCCCAAATAAACAAGCCAAAAAAAATGCTAACAATATTTTGAAACTTGATTTAAACCAGGAATTAAGTATATGATTTTAATGCAAAAATAACTTAGTTATATAGTTTTAATAATTTAAAAGAGGATTCCCTTTGTAGAGGTTATAAGGATCTATATATCTATAGATTCCATAGGGACCATGCTATGAGGTGAATTATGTTGTCTAGTGAAAATCTAGGAACTGTGAAATAATGGTACCAATCTCAGTCATTCAAGAATACAGATTTTGTTCTTTAGGAGAGTTCTAGAAGCAAAGAACCTGGTGCTAAGCACCCCTTATAATACAGTATTATAGAGTACATCTAGCTACCAAATAATTATAATTGATTACAGATTTCTGTGCTATTTCCCCAAAGAAATGAATGGTGGAAACTGCTTGCGGGGGGGGGGGGCAACTGGACTTTTCTAAAATACCAATTACACACTGATCCTGCAGTACTACTGCTCTATTCTGCTAACTTTAAAAAAATTGTTTCTTTTTCTCATGTGGACAATGCAAGGTGGCAATTATGGAGTGAAAAATATGTTTTTCTAACGCCTTCCCCCTTGCTTTTGGTACAATATGCATTTTTTCTGCTCATCAGAAGCAGATTTCTGAGTGGTTTCTTGTACTATGCAGCACATGTCTCATTAAGAGAAAAGCTTAAATGGCAGTACCATCTCCTTTGTGAGCTGATGTGATTTCTTTAAAGATCTTGATAGAACTGGTTCAGATAATTTGCTCTGCTTTGTACAATGAATCCAAGGTTTCATGTGGCTGTTTCCTTTGTTTACAGATTCTTTTACTGTACATTGTTCAGATTTTCTTTTATCTAACCCTGCATTTTAAAACACATGGAAAACCCCTAAAGAAAAAGGGAAAGTTTTGGGTTTAAAGCAGTTGAAAACATGCCCCCCAAAAAGGAAGGAAATTCAGGCCACATCCAGCTTCTCCCCATTCAAAATCTGTTGATGGACCATTCTTGTACTTTCTGCCAGGCAAATACAACAGTATAATCCCACTAGAGACAATCTCCTCCCTATAGATCCCATCACAAATGGTGTGAAAGAGCTGAAGAATCTTTGACAGTGCCAGAATCTCCGAACAGCAGATTTACAGAACACTTCAGCAGAGCTTCTTGTTCTGAAATGGAGCCTTTCATTTCTTTTTGTAGGGAGCAGTGTCTGTCTGTCTGTCTGTCTGTCTGTTTGTTTGTTTGTTTTTGTTTGCTTATTTCTTAAATTTCTATACCACACCATCACGGCAACTTTCCAACAAAAGGATAGACATGACTAAAACAACCATTCCTACCACCTACATCACATTAGTGTTTAAAAAGCAATTCAGAGCACATAGGATGGCAACCATGGGAAAAATGTAATAAATAAATAAATAAATAAATAA